ATCTTTCTAAGTTTTCATTTCACAGACGTGGCAACTGCAGTTTAATGTGCATTAGGAAAACATACATGTAATATGGGTACATTGCATCTCACTGTATAACAGTCTCCAATGCAAATTTTAGTCTGCAAGGGATAAATTCATTAAAATTAGTACCAAAGATTGATAATTCAGCCTGGCTTTCATTTGGTACAAACCCCTTACTTTACTTTCACAATAAAAAGAGACTTTGCATGTAAAATGCCCTTTTAAACCACTGCCAGAATGATGAGAAAAGTTGCTATGGTAAATAAGCATCAGGTCCTGCATGAGTGCTCGAAGCAGGACCGCATGCAGCAATACGTCCTCCTGCCGCTCATTTACTTTGAATAGCACTGTGTTGCCACTTTGTTTGGCAAATGGATGCCAACCGACCCATCGTCCAAACCTCCCTTCCCCACGCCTGGCCTTGTGCAAAAGCTTCATGCAACTGGGATGGAGGATGCCAGGTGAGTGCTGAGGGTGCTACGCTTGAGACAAATTTGCCACTTCTTGAACTCGTTCCCCCCAGCAGCCCCCTGTACAGGTCGCCGTCACCTCTGGCAAACCGTGAGGGGTCACCGTTTAAAAACCCTTACTGTGGCTTGTGAATTTTGAGCCACCTTTGGTGTTAAACGTTGGCAGGTGGCTTATAAAGAACATAATGCTAATGGGGTATATTTTGGGAGGGTTATTTCAAACTTGGAACAGTGCCTTGCCAGCCTCACAAATAGCTGTTTCAATGCAAATGAGGCAGAGAGGGAATGGGAGGCCAGAGGAAGGCGTTCCTCAAGCCGGCTTTGCCACCAAGGAAAACAGATACATGGCCTCAGTCCACGGTCTATGTGCTCAGAGACTGTCTAGAAAGGACTGCAAAGGTGGCAGGTGACTTTCATTACTTGTTCCAAACCATATTAAGGTGAAGGAAATCAAATTTCTGTGGTGTTTTTTTTTACTTTCTGGAAAACTTCAGGGCAGGATGTTTCTGTGACAAGCCTCATGCATTTGGAAGGACAGGAAGAATGCGTCAACAGTTTGAAATTTGGGGTCTGACAAAGTGGCCTGTATGTTCAGACAGATGTTTTGGTGATGAAGGGACTTGCATTTTATGCCAACAGTTTTGAATATTTAAGGCTTTTTCCGGTAGAAGTCCTTAGTTGACTGAAGTAGCACCATGGCTCTGAAGTTGTGTCTGCAACTGAATTCCCTTATGGAGTTTTGTCTCAAGACTTGTGTGTGGGAAGCCCTGCAGTGTTGTGGATGATATCACAACTGGATATCAGAACTGGAAAGTCTGTGTTCAGAGAATATCATGTTTATTACTTATAAAACTGGCTGTTCCACCAGTTCTCTAGCCTCTAAAGGATGTTGAATGGCAGACACAGCACAAATAATGAAGCCTTTTACATGATACGATGGGAGCAGAAGGGTTGTGATGGCCTTCAGGGCAATACAGCAACCGTTTTGGTTTGATAGGGTGATTGATCTTCTGTCGCAGGTAATCTTTCATTCATGCATGGTTTTACTAGCCTGAGGTATGGTATCCGATATTTTTTCTCTCCTGCTTTAAGCAGTGCTGTCTGTTATAGCTCTTGTACATTGGAAATTGCCTGCTGATTTAATATGCACTCTGATTTGTGAAGTTTGCAATTCAATTTTCCTCTTTACTGCATTTTTGTTCCCTGTTGTTTTCTTTAATGTTGGCACCTCTGAGTATAAACCTGCACCAGACAGTTTTGCCATGCTATAGCTGCATGGCGTTACTGTACTTTCATCTCGTCTCCCTGAATGGATCCATGTGATATTTGACCTCCTTAGGGCATCGTACTCTGCTTTTAATCTTTGGGGGTCTGTCCAGTCCTGGGTTTGGAAGTATGGTGCTGTCACCGCATTAACCAGAGCTCATTAACACATGTCAGTCTGGAGCAGGCAGCGCCATATATATGCCAACAGCAACACTCAGGTGAAACGTGATCATTACCATAAAATAACCTGAGCAACGAGGGTGAGTTCTGAGCCCAAACTGCCACTGCGAGTTTGCCTTGATCATACACACGCGCTGTTCTTCCTTTCATGCAGACACAGGAGGTGGCCTGTGTCAGGCACACAGGAGTGTCACCTCGACAGCTTTGCTGAGGTAACTGTCACACGTCTCAGCACTTCCCAGAAAATGAGAAGACTGAGAAGACTCAAGATTTTGACCTGTTATCTGTTACTGGCAATTTCTGGAACCTGTAAGAAGAGGATGGACTTTTGGGAGGCGGTTACTGTTTGACAGAGGGTGGTTTTCATGTTAAAAATCTGATGTGTCCCACAAGGATATCTGAGCCAAGCTGGCAGGTACCTGATGAAGCAACTACTGTGGTACAAAAGCAGTCGCTGTTCTGGAGAGGACACTAGTGATGCAGGGCATGGTAAAACTTCCTGCTGGAGTCCCTGTCCGTGCAGTGTGTAAAGCCATCAAAGTGGCATTCGATGCGCAGTCTCCGGAGGCAGGTACTCAGGTCATCATCAGTATCCATATGTGGATCTGATTTTGCATGGTTTTTTAGATGACAGATGGGACACAGAGCCTCACCCTCTGCCCACCAGCTGCAGGAAAGTTTTACCTGCAGAGCTGGATGGAGACCCTCCTTGGCTGGCTTAAGACCAGCTGTGTTTCCTCCCTGGGGTACTGGTTGCTCCTGAGTCCTGCACGATGTCTTCGACCCCCAGCTGAAATCTGGGAGTAAGGAGCTGCAAGAGGTTATCCAGAGCTGCTGCCATAGGGGTAGGATCGGCTGCTGGAATGAAAAGTGCTGCAGAGAGACCGAGTTTTCTGCTGGGAGCAGTGTAGATATATCTCAGTTACTTAGGAGAAAGCAATAAAATAATGGGGTAAATGAGATGGCAGTTTCTGTTTTCTATTCCCTACTGTCTCCTTTTTCTTAAACTCTTCATGGCGGGACTGACAAGGCCACTTCTCCACCCCCTCACAAGGGAGCGTGTTGTCATTTAAAAGAACAAGTCTTTGGGAGCAAGAAAACTTGATTTAACTGTGGTTTTATTGAAGCTGCTGCGTGTGCAGCATGATGAGGGGAATGCAATAATCTACATGTGAAGTTGTCAACCTTTGTGCAAGATGTAGCACCACCAGTGGCAATACCTCAGGAAGGAAAATCCATCCCCTCTGCTCCTGTGGAGCCCTGGGTTGAGGCCAGTTAACAACATTTCCCCAGGATTTCTCCCTGTCTGAGGAGGCTGTAAGGCTGCTCGTGTCCCTGTAACAGTTAGTGCCTCATCTCAGCAGAGGTGTCTGTGCCAAGGTGTGTCAAGACCTCTTGTCATACACTTCCCACTGCTCCCAGTGAGAGGTGTTCCAAGAGCATGGAAAATGCTCATGCTGTGCATGAGAGCCCAGCACACACTGCTGAAACATCCACTGGAGGATACTGGGGCATGGGGAGAGGATGCAAGATGGAAAGGACCTCCAGTGGCCAGGCACCAGAGGGTACGGGCAAAACTCCTGAGTAATGCTTCTCCTTGAATGCTTCTTGTACACAAGCTGTGGCACCGGTGCTGTAATACTTAGCGCAGAGGGTGTGTGAGCAAAGGGAGCCCTCTCACCTCCTGCATTCCCCTCTGCATGCCCTTGTACTCGTCAGTCCCGTCTTGATCACATGTGGCAGTTGGCCAAGCATCTCACCCAGAGCAATTCTTTTGTCTGCTTCTCTTTCTGAGTCTAAGCCACTACAGAAATGCGTGGGCTAGAGACGGATGGATTTAGCTATATCTCTTAAATAAGAATATTATCATCGATTTGTAATAAGGCTATTGTTTCTACACAGATTTGGGGTTGCTCTTTCCTATTCTGGGAATTATCTAGCCACAACAATAGTCCACCTCCGTTTGTCAGCTCCAAGGGCTTGCTGGACCACATATTGCTCTTTATAAATGTTGAGGGGCAACAGTCTCTGTGGCTGGTAAGCGCTGCCTATTCAGAGGTGCCCAGGAACCTCAGAATCATAGATTCATAGAATTATTTAGGTTGGAAAAGACCTTTAAGATCATCGAGTCCTTCTTGGAGAAGAGTCATGAAAGCCGAGGCTGTGAGCACTCAGTTGAACGCTGCTTTACAGCTTGCAAGCATTACTTGATGCTGGGTTATGTTACAATGACCCTGTTTATAAAAACTCACTGATAGTATGTTTGTCTTCTCTACAAGTTAATGGGGCTCCTCAGAGCACTACACCAGAGACCTTGAATGGGTCTTGAATACACTTATGACAACGTACAAAGTGTTACATCTTTTTAAAAGCAGAGAGGGAGCTCTACCATGTACCTGTTATTTGAGCTTGCTGAAATGGTGTCTCTAAATGGCTGCTTTCCAAAAGAATGAATCCTGCTTGAGTGTTTTTAATTTCTCAGCTTCACCGAAAGTTTGCAAGTCTTACTGAAAATTAGACAGGCTGATTAGAAAAAAGAATTTGATGAAATAATACAATACATTAAAGAAACTGTCAGGAGACCCATGTTCCTCTTCTGGCTGCCCTGTCAAATAGTGGGTATGTTAACGCACAAGATAATTGTGTTCCAATATGAACAGTTTGATTGCTGTCGATTTTTCTTCTGAATTATATAATAAAACAGATCTTTTTTTTAAAAAAAAAATAAAAAAGAAAAATATATGTGTGTAGTGTTCACCTGAGACCTTTCTAGTTTTTTTCTTTCATGAGATTTAAGAAGGTGTTCTACTGAAGGGTGGCAAAACCACCTCCTGCACTGGGATGCCCTTTCTGTTCCCAGTTGTTTACTGCTTAAACCCTGGTCAACTGTGCAGAGATTTTTTTTTTTATCAGTTTACTCAGTGCAGCATGAACTCAATGACTGAAAAGTTCAATAAGTTGGTTTTGATTGGGTTACAATGTGCTATCAGTAAAACAATGTTATATTGTTGTTCTTAAACTAATAAAAAGGGTTTTTTTCTTTGTTTTATGACCTTGCAGACTCAACTCTTGGGAGTTTTACTTGCTGCTACGTCAAATTTTCTGATTAGCATCTCTTTGAATATACAGGTATGAAACTATTTTTCTTTATTTGGAGTTGTTTATATTTGCCAATTATGTTACAATTTTCTTTTATGATGAAGTTCAAAATAGGAATTTTGTTGCATTTAATAAACGTTCCCTCTCTTTAACTGTAGTTTAACAGTGTCCTGCTGTATTTGTTGATAGTATGATAGCTCTCAACCTGTTCTGTGCTGCAATTCTCATACGGGAACAGAATAAAAATTTGTAACAGCTCCTCCTCCTTGTAATGTGCCGTAAGGAAATACCAGCTGTGACCTGCCTGTGGTCCCTCTGGCTACCATGTGAGCCTGTCTCAGAGTGTCCAAATCTCAAACGAAATTGACCACAATGTCTTAGGGACTGTTTAATGGAGCGATTAATGTAATTAAATGCATTGAGGCATAAAGTTTTTTGCAATATTGGGCGTCAAAACAACTTTGACCCATTTAGTTTTCTTTCTGCAATTAGGATGAAATAATATGAGCAAATATTATTTTAAAACACAGAAGTATTGAGAGGTGCTGACCTTGTAACTACGGCAAAGGGTTGTAGGATGAGATTTATGAAATCTTTTCGGTATTAATAATTAAAAAACATACTCAGTAAAAAGTTAAATAATTCATTACAATCTATATCTTGCAGGCTTCATGGTATTTTTAGGTCTTCTAACAAAAATTCTTCAAGTGCACAGGATATGTTTGTGCAAGTTGTCCAGAAAAAGTTTTTTTTGCTGGTTTGTATTTTATGAGTTGTATATGTCTCATAGAAATCTACTTCCTGCCTTTTCCGTGAAATATGAAATAGAAAACTGTGGAATATAAAATCTTCTATTTGTAATAACCTCTTTTATTAATGCTAGAAGGTTCTTAATTATTCCCTTCTATTTCAAGTATCTCTAGTTGGAAAACCCCATGGAAAGAAATCCATTTAGCCAGAGATGGCAGGTTGAGGTGACTGCAGCCTCTACAATATTAGTTCCAACCTGTGGAAGGTGACAGTACTAGGAGAGGCTTCATTTCAATGGAAAAACTCTTGTTGGTGAAGTGGAAATTCAGTCTATCCCATAATAATGAGGTTGTTCAGAGTTCACATATTTTGTCTGCTGAGGGCACTGAGTGCCAAAATGGATGCTTTGCCAGGAGAGATACCAAGGCATGCAGATAGACTTCTATTGACTTGCAATCATTAACAGCATTTCCTGGATTTGAACTATCTTCCAGCTTTTTGAACGCTGTTTAGGAAAATCCAACAGCTCTGCATTGCCATTTAACAGACAGTTTCTACTGAAATTTTTATTTATCCTCTAAAACAGATTTCTCTTCATTTAGTAATGGTACCTTATAAATAAGAATAATGACTTTCCTTAGATCTCAATGTTTATTTTCACACTCGTGTTAAATGTACATGCCAAATTTTGTTATTCTCTCTCCCTTTCCCACCATGCAGTCAGTCATCCTTCTTTTCTTCCCTCTAACTAGTTGTCAGCTAAAGAACAACTGTACCCTCAAGAGTTATTCCTACGAGAATGTAGGGAGAAACCAAAGCTCAGGATTCCTTTAAGAACTTGTCCTATTTGGTTTTCAGTAGAAACTTAGATTCTTGATTTCACAATATTATTTAATATCCATTTCTCTTTGGGGCTTTTTTCGTTTCTTTCTGTATGAAAATGAAACATGCAAAATCCTGGATGTAACTATGAACTGCTGGTCTGTGGCTCAGGAAAATTTGATTTTGTTATGCTCCCTTTCTCCTTGGAGGGCTAAACTTCTTCCTGGGATGTCTTCTCCTCAGCATGTTCCACAGCATGAAGCTGCAATAATGTGCTCAACCAGAGGAACGACTGAGACTAAGCTATATCACAGATGTTACTGTTCGGCCCATACTCTGTAGCGTAGCCTACAGAGTAGAATGGGAGTATGAGGAAAATTGTTTACAACTTCCCCGGGGCTCTGCAGGAGCACCTCCAAAATCAAATATCAAGTGCTGGAGGAAAAAACCTGTATTTTACCACCATTTATACCACAATAGTCATATCACTTGGTTTCCAACTTTTTAGACCCATTTCCCTGTGCAGAGAGGCTGGCGAGGAATCTGAGAAAGGAAGTGATATTCTGCAGAACTAATGTGGTAAACATTGCATCCTTCCCAATCATGACACCTTCATGATGGAGACTGCCTAGACTCTGTTTCAGAAGACCAATGTGATCAAAGTCAAATTATCTTGTTATATACACCGAGAAAACAATTACAACTTGTGTCAATGATAGCTTCTCCATGTAAGAAGAAGTGTTGATGAAGTGTTTCTTGAGTATATTGATATCATATATCTCGATATATATTTCTTGATATTTTACAAGGGATAGGACGAGGGGCAATGGCTTTAAATTGAAAGGGAGTAGATTTTGATTAGATATAAGGATGAAATTTTTTACAATGAGGGTAGTGAAACACTGGTGCAGGTTGCCTAGAGGAGTTATGGATGCCCCATCCCTGGAGGTGTTCAAGGCCAGGTTGGATGAGGCTTTGAGCAACCTGATCTAGTGGAAGATGTCCCTGCTCGTGGCAGTGCGGTTGGAACTAAATGATCTTTAAAGTCTCTTCCAACTCAAACCATACTATGATTCTATATATTACACCTGTTGACACAGGTATAGCTGGTTTTCCTTCTGAAAATAATGCTTTACCTGAGATCTTCTAAGGTCAAGCAGGAGATTGTTGCAAAATTCTAAATTTAGA